CTGTACTAGGTGAATATTACTTTTCGTAGACGTTAATGTCATCTAGTACAAGAATACATACATTACACAAAACACCTGAAGAAATAACATAGGAAAAAAGCTGATAGCAGCTCGTAACTTTAAAGGACTCCTTGAGCCAAATTGGCATTAGAGCAGACCGTGCACCGCAATGCCCCCTCTTACCGGATGAGACCCGCAATCCCAAGTATTAAACTGCAGGTGGGAAAACGAAACATCACCCCACGGTGATGTCTTTTCTGCTATGATCAAGGAGCACGAACTGTATGTAGTTTCCGGTCAGATCAAATTTAGTAAACAATCTGACCCATTCAGTTGTCTTTAGGCCAGATAAGAGTATGCTATATCGCTAGGCATAGTGAACGAATTCGACGAACCGTTTCCATTGGGACTGTTCCGTACCTGCAAGCAACTGTTTTCAAGATAAATTAATGTTCCCCAGGAGACCTTTCGTCATTAGGACTGGGTACCTTCCTCATACTAGTACCAGCATTCATCCACCATAAAATTGTGGTTCCCCAGGGTCGGTCCTATCGTTGTTACTTTTCGAAAAATTTTTACGACCCCCCTCCCCCAAGGTGGATTTGGTACGACCCCCTTTTCGACCCTCGACCACCATATTCCTCTCTATAGTATTTAATTCTGGTACCACTCAACCCACCTCCAAACTCCGCCCACTTTTTCCTCCAAAAATGCCGTCGAGCGGGGGGTATATAGTCACTCTGAAACCGTAAAAATTACCAAAATTCCCTAAATTTCCACCAATTTACCCCGCGCACTGAAACGGCAAATTTTCTCCCGCGCCACTCCTCCACTCTTCTTACAACCGAAGCAAGTACGACCCCCCTCTACAAACTCATCAAAATACGACCCCCCGTTGCTACTTGTAGCAACATAGGGTTGACCCTGGTTCCTGCTAACTGCGCCACGCGGGTTGACTTACCGGTTACGCACGAATACCACAATCGACCATTTATTGATCTACCTCAAACTTGGGTAATTAAACTAGAAACAAGTATTTCAATGCACAAAATAATCAGCACCACGCGGGAAATCAATACAATAAAAAATATCGCCGGGAAAACCATAAAAATCGATACAAGAAGATATCCCATGAGACGGATATTCATTCCTATCATTACAGGTCTCTTCACTTGCCCTAACACAAGTGAGAAGTGATCACCATCATCACTTCGTGCTGGATCATCACAGCACTTGGGGCGTCGGTGCCAGTGTCATCACATACTTGTATAACTCTCAAGGAAAGGAAGTGGCGAGCTTCGAAGTAAAAACTCTCTAGGTGTAATGAGATCATTCGATGTGATATAGTGGGTGAATCTCAAACTGTGTATCGTCGCTTTTATCACAGATATTCGTGCTCTTCTTGTATGTCACTTTGCTACTGTTTACACCATTCCTACATTTGACAAGGATGACACATGGAACTACTGCCTATGAATTGCCATTTCCTTCTTTAAGATTTCCGGTAAAATTCTCTCGTCTAGAGATAAATATCGATAACTTCGAGATCCAAATGTGTTGAAACAGTTTTTCGCTATTTTACTTGGTCTATATACAGGGCTGGCCAAAAAAGAGACACACTTCACTTCAAAGTTCAGCCAGCATTAATCACACTTTGCTAGAATCAAATCGACTGAACCCAACTTATTATTAAAGAGCACACTCTAATCTATCTAAATGTCACGTGACAGCCTTCTGCACCGACTACATCAGAAGATTTTCCCACGGAAACATGGTTCACGGTACGAGCTCAACGAGGTCGTCGATGTACCATAGGCCATTACGACCTCCCCGAAACGCTGGTTAAAGCGGTCTTGCACAGTAACAGCTAGTGTCTCCTAGAAGTTATTCACCATCTAATCAATTGAAGAAATCATGTAGCAGCTTCAGGCCGGAGCGATTACAGCAAGCCTCGTTGAGCTCGACGGTGACGACAGATGACGTCATATTTTGAAGACGGTGGAGGCAGTGAAAAAGGGCCTACTTCTGCTTACGTGGGAATATCTTGGGAATATTCCGCTGTAAAACTCTCATTAAAATCGGCGCCCTGTGCGACAAAAAGTTCGACGATGTCCGCCCAATATGGCAAACGTTGTCCTTTTTCGGTCGGCTGTAGAGGATTGGTTCAGTGGGTTTAGTGGTTGCAGTACGCGGCGGATCAGCAAACCTATTTATTTGCCAGTAATAAGACGAGTGGCGAGTTAAACGGAGGTCCCCGCCTCGAAGACTTGGAGGCGGGGCGGCGGGGGGAAGAGGTCATCGGAACGATGACAAGCCCTTAATAGTTTCCGATAAGTTCTAAAAGCCTCGGAAAGTGTTTGAATGTACATTGGTTCGTTTGTGTCAATCACGGTGTTTTTCCACTAAATTAGGCTGAGCATATTGACCTTTGAGAGGACGTTTTGTTCCCGTGTGAAGGCACAGGTCGCGATTGCAGCGTTACTTGCATCTGCGAATGCCCACAGGCGTATCTTCGCACATGAGGACGGGATGTAAAAAGGTCGAGGCAATGATATAATTGCTCCATTAACGGCGCTGCATAATTGATTCCATTTTTGTACCATTTTGAGATCAAGATTCGTTTTCCAGTCAATTCCTGAATCGAATATTTCCCTCATCGTCGCTTTTAAATGAACTAGTAGAGGGCTGGCTAATCCAATGGGATCGTAAACGGAATTAATTTGGCTCACAACATCTTTTTTTGTTAATTCTCAAACTTTCCGAAAGTTTGTAGCGACTTGAAAGGCGTCATTTTCTAGCTTGTATTCAACACCGAGCACTTTTAGGCAGTTTGATTCCAGTCTATCCTCTTTTGGAATACGCTGATTAACTTCTTTAGAACTTGAGATGTACTCTCTAAGATTCATGCCGATTCGAGCGAATAGTTGCTTTGACTTGTAATATTTTTGCACGGCTTCTTCTGGCGATTCGGCTTGTAGTAGGATATTGTCCACATACAGGTTACGAGCGATTTCGTCGGCTAATTCTGTGTTTTGACTGCTCAGAAATGCCGAAAGAGCCATGTTCAGAACACTAGGAGAGGCGGTGACTCCGAATGGGAGTCTCTTGAACCGATACTGAATAAGGTTATCTTTGGTAGGGGGTAGGCTTACGTTTTTAAGCCACAAAAATCTGCACAGTCTTTGTGAGATTTTAGCAAACGGATTTGCGTGAAAGCTGCCTCTATGTCGCACATTAATATAATTTTGCTACTTCTAGATGACAGCAAAATATCATGTATTTTATTTACAAATGCTTCTCCTTTGTGGATAACGTCATTAAGAGAGAGTTTCCCTTTTCTCTTAGAAGATGCGTCGAATACTATTCGCAGCGGTGTCTTTTTTGCTGGTTTCCATACTCCGGAATGAGGCATATAGTACGTCCCCACGGCGTCTTTTTCGGAGAAGGAGAATGTTTCTATCATTCCTTCCTGATGGTATTTGTGAAGTATTTTGCAGTACCACGAGCGTTGTTCTGGGTGTTGCAAAAGCGAGTTTTGGAGCGATTCCAGTCTTCGGATCGCTATGGAGTAGTTGTCTTCCAATTCAGTAATGTTTTCTTTTAGTGGGAATGGGGCTGTTATATAACCGTTTTCAAAGGATATTCTCTTCGAGTACTGTTCTAGATATCGGTAGACCTTTTCGTCTGGCTGGTATTCTTCGCTTGAAATTCCAAGTCCTTCTAATTCAAACATTTTTTGGAGAAGTTCTTTTTCGCTTGGTTCGATGACTGCCGTCAGACCGTAAAATACGGGACTTTCTGTGGTTTCTGAAGGAATGGTTCCTTTGCCATATATGGTAGGCCCAAAGATGGTATTCGATATATGTAGTCCCGTAGGAGTTCTTATACCATGGTTCGGACTCGTCACCAGTTCGTGAAAATAGTCTAGTCCAACGAGGACGTGCGGAATTTGATGTTCCCCGCGAATTTTTGAGTTAGCGAGGCATATTTTGTTTGCTTTTAAGAATGTTATATCTGATGGAGCCAGCCTAACGCTAGGGAATCCGTTGGTTAGAACTGGCTTGGTTTGGAAACTGAGTTCCATTTCTTCACCGAAAGCCGTTCCAATTTTGACCTGTACAGTGTGGCTTTCGAATTTTTCGATATGGCCGCCAATGCCGGACATTGTGCATATTTCTGTTGTTTGCTTCGGAAGTCCTAGAGTTGTGGCCAGAGACTCTTGTATCACTGTCTTCTGTGCTCCTGAATCGAAGAAAAACAGCACTTTTTCATACTCGTTCTTCCTGTGATTCCAGATGTTACCCTCAGCTGTCATTAAAATCAGCTGGGAAGAGGCGGATTTATCACCTTGCTTGTTTTCGGCCCATGTTTGGGTGTTGTTCGCAATAAATCTCCTGTCCTCATTACGGTTCTCAGTATTTCTTTGACCATTTGGTCTCTGATGGTTTTGTCCTCTCTGACTAGGTCTTTGTGGCGGATTCCACGGTCTGTTTGAATTTCTACCAGTGTTTCCACTAGTACTTGTATCATTTTTATAACATACACTTACGTGGTGTTTTTGTCCACATTGTGCGCAGTCCGGTTTCTGGCAATCGAAACTGTTGTGGTTCGATGAGCAACATTTCCAACACCTATTTTGGTCTTTGAGAAACTTTCTACGGATTGCTTTGTC